CCACCTTTGTTTCTTCTAGATTTACCAATGTCTAAGTTCAAGAGCTTCCAGAACCAATGGAAGCCAGGGGGTCCATTGATTGGAGAGCCAAGAGACATAGACTGTAGTAATGTATGACACTGAATGAAATTAATGTCAAAATTTACTTTCCCCATTGTTGACTTTGCACTAAATATACATGTGTCCTGGAACTGCATGTGAAATCCAGTGTGTTCGCCATGTCCTCTGACTCTTCTCAATTACTGGAAGTGGATTTCTGAAACTATCCAACTACTGTAGTTATTAAGTAGAGAGCTTTCTAGCTGAACTGTGTCACAGACACCCTGTGCCTCCTGTGCATGCTACCAAGTGACACTGAGTGCTAGTGAGTCATGCCCTCTTTCTGAGCATGGCTATGGTCAGACCACATGAGCTTCAGAGCTGGGCATTTGCCTGGAACAGGCTCACATGAAGACCAAAGGCCAGAGGGAAGGAGGGCTTCTGAAGAAGCATCTCCAGGCTAAGATCACCAAGCAGGCCCTACAACTCCACAATACTGTGAGGACCAAACACACAGAGTCCAGAGAGTAGAGAGTCTGGTTCTGGGGAAGAGATGATCTGGTGTCTCCATTCAGGACCCAAAAAGTTACTTAAGCCTGGAAGACGTGTGCAAATGGTGGCTGGGGGTTTGCTGTGGGACAAGAATATCCATAGTTAGATGGAAACCACAGCATTCACACATGGGGAATTTGTGAGCTTTGGTTGTTACTTGTTTTCGTGTTTTCCTAAGGCCCATCCCTTTATGTATTGAATAGTGTGATCTGCCCAGAGAGTCTCTGATAGCAGTTGCCAGAAGTAGAGGAATTTGGACACAAGATGTCCAGGTCTCCTCTCACAGAGCACTGTAGACTGGGTCCATGTGGACGTCAGATATGGTCATAGAGAAGCAAGGAAAATGACAGCCTCGATCTGGGAGACAGATGTGTTGAGATGGGAACCCGAAGACCACAGCCCAAGTGCACACACAACCAGAGAAGGTACACGATGGTGAGCAGGAAGCACAGGCAAGAGGTGACACAAATACAGCCTGGTCTGGGAGGTGGCAGGGGTGGGATTGGGGCACAATAGGGAAACTGAGGCTCCTTCTCGAAGAAGCTGGGATGATCACTGGACTTTTCAGGTGGCCGTGGAGGAACTCTGGTGGATTTGTTGGCTACAGCCTTGTTTACTGACACACATGGAGATATAGGAAGGAAGCTAGGCCTGGGGGAGAGGGTGGGTTTGGAGATGGGCAGCTGTCTGGGGCCTGGAGGTCACAGGAACAGCAGGTAGGAGGAAGCCTGGGTGCATCCTGTTCTCTGGGCCCTGGCATAGTTCTGCTGCCTGCTCTTTCTATACTTGCTTGCCTAGAGTCATGCAGAGCATCATAGCCTACACAGAAGGACCCTTGATGTCCCAGCAGGAGGAGGTGGTTACTGGTTGAAAGAGGTGGAACAGCCTCACAACTCTTCTGACTCTGCATCTGGGTGAGCGGTGGAAGTCACTTGAGTAGGTGTAAGACCGCACACCAACACATCTCTCCACTATGTCCACAGGTGGGACATGGGGCTGCTTTGTATCTTAGCTGTCTCTTTGCAAGGCTGGAACCACAACATCTTATATCAGTGATGTCATCTAGCTAATGTCCTCTTCCCGTGAGAAAACCCTGAGCCACCCAGCCAACAGGGAGGCTTAAGAACAAATGTATCTGTCTATAAAGTATACTGGTTCTCAAAGAGGATCTGCCTCTGGGTTCACCCTACACTCCAGTAGAGTATATCTATAGTGTCGGTGGGGATGGTCCTCTTCTCTGCCTGCCTTCTGCAGTCCTATCACTCTTGCTGTCTCAACCACACCTATAGGCCATCCCTTCTTTAGACCTGTAAGGAATGCCAAGGTCACTGTGAACTGTAGACATGTTAATAATGGACTAATGATTTTTCTGTGACTGAAGAATTAGCATGACTTAAAGCATGAGATGTAAAACCAAGCTATAACATATTCCTGAATTCTTGTAAATACAAATCTGAGCCAAATTACCTTCCACAGAAGACTGTCATTGACCTTCTTAGACCTGAAAGTGGAGCAGAGGTCCTCTCATTCTGAAAATCTCAAATAGTTTTCACCTCTACCTTAGGTGCAGCATCAGGGGCCACTCATGAGATACAAAGCTAATATAGACCAAAGAGTGTGCTTTCTGTAATGCCAACCTGTTTCCCATAGTGTACACAGATTTGGCAGTTCAAACAATGGTTCAGAATCTGAGGGGATTTCAGTATGTTATACGGTAGTGATCACAAGAATTTGGAAATCAGAAGTCCCTAGCAGAGAAGCTTGTAAAAGATATATTTTGTGATTCTTAAAAGATTTGTACAAATTCTCACTGCAGCCAAAAGTTAAGGCAGACACCATTAATGCCAGTACTCAAGAAGCAGAGGCAGATGGAGCTCTGTTCATTCAAGGCCTGCCCAGTCTACATAGCAAGTTCCAACCCAGCCAGAGCTTCATAGTGTGATCCTATCTCAAAAAACATTATTTTTTTTATCTGTGCTATTTCCTAAAACAGTGGCTTAAAGCCAGGGTAGACTGTCTGGGAAATGAGAACAAAGCCATAAAAGCACATTGCTCCCTAGGTCCCATTGTGAGGTGAGCTGCTTGTGATGGGATAGAATATAGACTTTACAGGGTATCACAGGGCAATGAGCGTGCACCTGAAGACGGCTGAAAAAGAGCAAGCAACCAGTAACTATATCCTGACTGAGAGCTGCTGGAAGCAACCTGGGAACATTATCCAAGGCACTCTTGGTGACCCCTGAGCTTCCCTCCTCTGTATGTACATAAAGAATGCCAGGCTTAGCTGTGTGGACTGTAGAGCAGGCACAAGTAGGCAAATGTATTTGCAACACCCTGCAAGTTATTAGCTGCTCACATGTTTGTCATTTGGGAAAATCTGTTGTAAATGCACTGTTACCCATTGTGATCATGTCCAGGCAAGTATACACATATGCATGGCGGTGCACACTTAAGTGTGTGAATGCCTGTGGAGCTGCAAAACTTACACATTTCCCAGTGCCTTGCAACCACCCAAAAGAAGGCTGCTTGCAAAACAGTGTCTTTTGAATTATGAGTGTCATGTAACTAGCTATGACCTTAAATTTTCATATTTCTATGCTAAACACCAAGACATTAACTTTTCACATTTACTAAACACTATGATTAATGTAAAGTATAGGACTTCCTTTGAGTCCAAGATGCCTTACTGTCAAAACAGTGGTGGTGTCTACCTCAGAGGCCCACAGTGAGGCTTGGAGGCTGTCTGTGAAAAGCGGTTTGTGTGCACCTGACATTTATAGGGATCCACTGAGCTGCTGCTATCAGAGACTGGATTTTAGCCTAGGTCAGGGGTTTGCTGTTTGACATATTTCCTACCTACTTAGAACACCATAAAATGCTTTTCTAAGGTCAGGCTGTTGTGTGGACAGTGTATCTGTATCAATTCAGCTTTGCCATACTAGACAGAACTTAGTAAGTGGAGCTATATTTTGCTTTTAAGCTTTTGATCGTTTTTTTGATTGGGGATGAAAATTCGCAGGCTGACTTGAGTTACCATAGACAAAGGATTAATTCTTTTGGAAGGGGCTCAGCATTTCATGGCATGTCACCATGGTCAGCATATTAAATAGTAAAAATGTAAACTCCAGGCATGACAATGAACACCTGTAATCCCTACAGTGGCAGAGGGAGCAGCAGGTGGAGCCCTGAGCTGTCTGGCTAGCCAGTGCAGTTGGATTGGCGATTACAAATTCAGTGAGAAGCCCTATCTCAAAAGATGACGATGGGGACTGGAGAGATGGCTCAGCAGTTAAGAGCACTAACTGCTCTTCCAGAAGTCCTCAATTCAATTCCTAGCCACCGTATGGTTGCTCACAACCATCTGTAATGGGATCTGATACCTTCTTCTGGTGTGTCTGAAGACAGCTACAATGTACTCATATATAAAACAAATAAATAAATCTTTAGAAAAAAGATGATGGTGATGATGGTGGTGGTGATGATGATGTCCAGGGCAATTAAGGAAACATCAAACATACATACCCACACAACTGTGCATGTACTATCCACATATATAAAGTTTTTCATGAGGAAAAACGGAAGGTATCTATGGCCAAACAAATTTGAGAAACAATGACTTAAGCAAAGTTTGATAAATATGTCTTTTTCCTGAAGTCTGTCAGCCTTTTTTTCTTGCTAAGTCAGTAGTTGATCCCACAAGTTGAATTTAGCCAGCTCCTTTGTGTATACAATTCTGGCTGACGCTTTTGGAAAGAAACCATGAGTGAGTGTGCATGCAGTGTGCATGCATGTACACACACACATACAGACATATGTGCCTGATGTACCAGATCTTAGGAATTGGAACTCACTAGGAACTGCCTGCAGAAGACTACACGCATGGAGCTTGGTGCCATTTATAAAGACAACTGCTAAGCAATCCCTACAGAAATCCCCTAGCTCCTTTTGGAGTAACAATTCCCCATCCAAAAGGCTGATTGGAAACGTTTTAATTTTCACTGGATACTTTATAAGACAAAAAAAAAGCAAGCAAATGAAGAGCATTTGAGGGGCAGTCTACCTAGGAGCAAGCACACTGATTTGTGGAGATGTGTGTCCCCCCGTGTGATACTGTGATGTGGCTGCGATCATACCCAGCCAGTACTACTGAATGGTTTCCCCTGGTTCTAGAATGTCCTAAGGTATGCTTCTAAGCTGTTGAGCCCATAGGAGCTTGCTCATAGCTCAGAAGTCCTGCTCTGAGCAGTGATTTTTCTGTAGCTTGTATGAAGACCAACAATAACAAATTAGCAGCTAACTAGTGGTTTTACATAATAATATGCCTTTTAAAAACAGCACTGTCTTTTACACTCTTACTGTGTCTGTGATGATATTACAGCCTGGCTTTCTTTTTGCCTTCTTTATTGCAGTTGCATATGGGGCTGATGGCTTTAGGGATTTTCATGCAATAATTCCCAAATCTTTCTCTCGTAAGTATATGCTTTGCTTCTAGAAAACAGATGTTCATTTCATGGTCATTTTCATCACAAAGACACCACAGCCTGCATGCTCTCTCAACACCTTCCTTTATAACTTGAAAAAAAATGTGATGAACTAAATGTTTGCCATTCTATCATTAAGCATCCATCATCTGGTGTGTCACTGATACAATAAATTAGTGCAAAGGCAAAGGGTGAGGGGGTTGCTTGATTGGTTCTGGTTTTGTCTGTGAGGCAGGGTCTCCCTTTTAGCCATGGCTGGCCTAAACTGCTCTGGGATGCCCAGACTCACTTTAAATTTGCAGTGATCTTTGCCTCTGCCTCTCTGCCTCTACCTCTCTGCCTCTCCTCTGCCTCTCTGCCTCTGCCTCTCTGCCTCTGCCTCTCTGCCTCTCCTCTGCCTCTCTGCCTCTCTGCCTCTCTCTGCCTCTCTGCCTCTCTCCCTCTCTCCCTCTCTGCCTCTCTCCCTCTCTGCCTCTGCCTCTCTGCCCCTCTGCCCCTCTGCCCCTCTGCCCCTCTGCCCCTCTGCCCCTCTGCCCCTCTGCCCCTCTGCCCCTCTGCCCCTCTGCCCCTCTGCCCCTCTGCCCCTCTGCCCCTCTGCCTCTGCCTCCGGCTCTGCCTCCTCCTCTGCCTCCTCCTCTGCCTCCTCTGCCTCCTCCTCTGCCACTTCTGCCTCCTCCTCTGCCTCTGCTTCTGCCTCTCCCCCTGCTTCTCCCCCCTGCCTCTGCCTCTCCCCTTGCCTCTGACTCTCCCCTGCCTCTCCCTCTGCCTCTGCCTCTCCCCCTGCCTCTGCCTCCTCTGCCTCTGCCTCCTCTGCCTCTGCCTCTGCCCCTGCCCCTGCCCCTGCCCCTGCCCCTGCCCCTGCCCCTGCCCCTGCCCCTGCCTCTGCCCCTGCCCCTGCCCCTGCCTCTGCCTGCCTCTGCCTCCATGGAAGTGAGGCACAGCATGCCCATGCCCGGCTCACCAGTAAGGATCTGCTAGTGAGAGGATTAGAGGGTAGAGGACATGAAAGTGAGGCATCTGGAGAGAAAGAACTAATGTAGCCACAGTGGCTGTCTCACTGAGAGGCTGCTCAGCAGGGTCCCGATTAAAACTGCGATCAACAACTTTGTGGTCCATGCTTCCTGTCAGCATCAAACAAACCAACATCTTTTCAGATAACTTGTGCAATTTTGTGTGACAGGAAAAAAAATGTGCACCTCTTTCCCTTGCTCTGGAGTGCTAACCTCAGACCAGAGAAGAAAAACTCATGGGTTTCCAGGCCATTCTGTGGTGGCTTACCACCTAAGCATGCACCGTGTTAGCATGCATGGAGGCTAGCCCCCTCTCCTTTGGGCTGCTATGCCAAAAACTAGATGGTAATTTAATCTTTTAATGTATTGAAAGTTGAAAATGGTAACTATATTTGGGCAACTGTAAGGAGTATCTTCAAAAATAGAGAAGACTATTTTTTTTAATGCAAGTGGAATTAATACAAGTGTAACAAGTTGTTAAACCCAGTAGGTCTTAAGTCTTCAACCCTTGTATCAATACAACGTTTAATTTTATGAAGCAGCACCAGAAAGCAGACTGTATTGGCATCGCTTTGAGGAGCAGTTTGTCGATGTGTAGTGCTTCAAACAGAAGCACACTCTCTACCACCAAATTACACCCCAAGCCCAGCTTGCTGACCTCTTACAACTCTGCTTTTAATATTGAGGTGTCAGCAACAGAACGGTTAGGTTTATGATGTCCTGTTATCAGACACGACTTGGGAAGCACAGGATTAGCAGTATCCACCTAGGTATGCTTCTGCTCGAAGACCAGATAGACTTCTCTTTCCAGAATATAGGACGCTTATTGAAATGTTTCTCTTGTTAATTATTCCTTCAGTTCAAAGTGAAGATAAGGATCTGAGATTTACTTCTTCGTGTAGGCATGTATGTACACATACGCATTTTCATGTGTGAGCTGTGAATGTGCCAGGGCAAGGAATCATGTTAACTTTGAGCCAACCAATCACAGTTTTGGAATGCTTTGGTAAGTCAGGTACACATAATAGTAAGACATTCTGAGACACATTTTCAGTAAGCCTGAGGAATGGGCAAAGCCAGGCATCAACTAATGTCCAAGCAGATGGGTGGGGTTTTCAGGATGGGAAAAATGACAGTGGGAGATGTTCTGAGACCTGATAAATGTTTTCATGTATTTCATGCCTATCCGCTTATAAAGATGAGTTCATAGTAATATTATCACTTTTTCTTTCCCTTTTCCCCTCAGTTGTTAAGTACCTTTCTGGAACAAATGGTTGGTTGAGCCTCAAGTCTCCGCCCACCAGCAACCAAACTGTTCTGGGCCGATATCGCCACCTTGTGGTCATGGTAGAGAACTGACCTACAGGCTCCCTTCTTGAAGTCAAAACAAACTTTTGGCCTCCTCTGCCGTCTTTATCCCATTTTGAGTCCCTAGATACTTGAGAAAATTTTAAATGTGCCTTAAACTTCTTTTTTTAAATAATTTTCTACTTTCTGATATGTTTCTATCCCTGACTTCATTGTATTTGAAGACCAAAACATCAAATAAGATTATTTCCAAAAATAGGCTTGATTAGGTAGAAATCCTATTATTTTAACTATTTTTAAACAATATTAAGTTATACAAATTTTTTCTAACTAATGCTTACAATTTGTTCTAGTTGTTTTTTTTTTTTTGAGACAAGGTGCCATGCAGCTCAGGCTAGCCTCAAGTTCCCCAGGTAGTTAATGGAGGATGTCCTGGTTACTCCTAACCCCTGCCTCTGCCTCCCAGCAGTATGCACCACACTGCTGGCTCCATAAGTCTTTAGAGGAAACATAAAAACACCAATCTGCACATAGGTGTCTCTGATCATCACCTATTACCACAAATAAATCAAAATATACCTTATGTATTTTATTCCACTTTACTTATTAGCTACAGTTATTGTTTAAAGATACATCTTTACATTTACATCTCCCATTTTCCATTTAAAATATTGAACATTACCTGATTTAAACCCATGCTGGAATGACAACTTCAGATTTTTTTTTCCAATTGGAAAATCACATTGTACATTCTGAAAATCTACTTTTCCAGTAAATATTAAGAAGCATTATGAAAGGGAAATGACAATGTGGGCATCACATCTGTAAGCCAGAGCCTGCCCGTGCACATTACACCTCTGCATTAAAAATGTTCAATTATTCACGAGGATACAGCACACTTGGCAGCCAAGCCAGGCCTCTGGGCTCCTGCTGGCCTGAGTTCCTTCACATCTCCAGATTATTTGGTTCAGACCTTTTCCTAGATGCTGGAGGCCTTGCCACACTCAGGGGTGGGGGTTGGGGGACATTCTCTTAGGACAGCAGGGTTACCACTCTGGTGGTGGGCCTCTAAAATACATAATGAGAAGGTTTGTTTTTCTCCATTTTAAGTAGCAACTGAGAAGCAAGGTAGCTTTTATACGGGGCTTGTAAATATCGTGATAACATAAGCCATGTTTTGTAAACACTCACATCAGCCTCGTCCGTTATCTGTCAGTTGCTGGGAGAGTAGGTTAGACCAGAGCCTTAGGGTGGCGAGGACACTCACAGGACTCCATTTATGTTGTATATTAATCACCTCAATAAAGCACTTTATCAACCTTCTCGTTGTTCTAAGTAGTTGAATACAGATAGAGTTTACAAAATATGTGTAAGTCTATTCCTTATAGTCAGCATTTCACTGAAGGAATACCACAGCTAAATGGTTCTAGACAGACTGCCTTGTTTTCATGGACAGCCTTTTTGGTTGAATAGAAATTTGTCAGATTTCTTCTACTTAGCAAGCACCCACTTTGCATTTATCTCCAGAGATATGAGGGCCTTCTCCATCTTTGTATAGAAAAACTCCACATGGAAGGAATCTTAAATTCCTCATGCTGACAGTGTAACCTGCCTCTCACCAAATCCTCTTCTCTCTGGTCACTCAGTCTCCATTAGACACCACAGACCTCGCAGTTCAAAACATGGCTGGGAATGTCTGCATCACACCAGCAGCTCCCAGCTCAGCAGTTGCCATGGAACTCTCCTGTTAGGATGCGTGTAGGGCACCTGCTCAGTTCCCACTATTTATGGCCCTTGGCCACACCCACTGGCATCTGCAGACACTGCATCTTCTTTCTCAGAAACATAAACTTTGAGTCTTAAACTTTCTGATTACTGATCATCCTTCCCATACTATGCACTAACCTCTCCCACCCTCCCTCCCTCCCTCCCTCCCTCCCTCCCTCCCTCCCTCCCTCCCTCCCTCACACCATGCCCATACACACTTATATATAATTGACAATATTAACACTCCAGTATAAATCAGATCAAGTAGTTTGAAGTTCATACTCTATGTCCTTGGCAGCCATCCACCTATTTTCCCCCCATTGCATCTGTTGCCCACAGTGACACTGGGACAACTTGTGAACAACCCTCATGCCTCCTGAGCTACCTTTCTCTTTTGATGCTGACACAGCTGGTGGCAGCACCATCTTGTAAGGTAGCCATGCCAAAGCCCTGCCTGCAGTTGCCTGAGTCACACTAGTGGTGGGCCTTGAGTGCTTTCAGAGAGCCAGTGCCCTATAAAGCAGCACCCATCACATGACCTGCTTCCTCCTGACTCTCCACTCTCCTCATTTTGCAAGCCGCCTGCTAGAGTAGAGCTGCTCCTGAACAAGAAGCCTGAAGGTTACTACTGCCCATGCACCCTGCTGTCCTGGCCTTCTCTGGGAAGGACCCACACAGGCATTAGTGATATGTGCCAAGAAATCCCCCAGAGGATTGCATGTGAACTCCACTGTTTTTATTCATATAGAAAAATGCTTATGACTGGCATGTGCTTCTCTGCCCTGCATGCAGTGTGCTTAGGAAAGCAGAGTCACAACCTCCTTTACCTTAGTGGAGTCCAGTGGAGTCAGGAACATCCTAAGGGGATCATCCTAATACATGTTCTTCCACAAGATGGCTTTTATCCAGCTGTGGACACTTCTGGTTTAGACACTTTGCTGCAGTTCTGTGCCTTAGCTGTGATGGCTAAGAACTTGTCAAGCCAGCTATCATTTTCTCCATGGAATCTTTGACTACCTAGTTTCACTTAGAAAAAAATAAAGAGATGTAATTGAAAAATAACCAGAGGTTGAGATTTTTGTAGCTTTACCATGCTTCCTAGAGAACAAATTTGATGTAGTCTATGGTCTGTTGCTATAACAAAAATTCTACAGAATAGTCAACATATAAACCATGTAAATTCCTTTAGCTTGTAATTGTGGAGGATAAGAAGTTGAATGTGGTGTCTACATCTGGTAAGGGCCTTATGTGGCTAGACAGAGTATTGCTCTAGTGTAGGCCTGTCTTCCTCTTCTTAAAGAATACTTTGTAGTCAGCTTTGTTTTGCTAAGTGAAAACCCAAAGCAAGTATAGAGAAGCATGCATTTAGTTTGGCTCTGGAGGTTCCAAGCAAACAGTGGGGGGAGGGGGACTTTGGTGAGAATGGCCAATGATAGTGATGGGGAGCATGTGTCAGAGCCAATCACACATCAAAAGTTGGGAAGCAGAAAATGACTGGGAAAATAGAGTCCCATAGTCTTTCTGAGGGGACACCACTAGCCATCTAAGGACTTCCCACCAGGTCCCACCTCAGAACAGGATCTCACCCTGAATGAGCCTTTGGAAAGTGTTTATCTAAACTATAGCCATGAGAGTCCAGATTCTGGTGAGTTTAAATATACCCAAAGATATCTAAGAATTCAGATACTCTAGAGTCCAGTGTCATTAAACACCACTGTGTGAACCACAGACCTTTCCTCTCTTGCCTCATGGATAGGATCTGGCCTCTGAGGGAAGTAAGGACTGCTGATTTGCAAAGTCTTGGATCAGAGTCTTGTAGGGAAAAGCTTTCTGAGAATTGCCCACTACAAAATTTCAGTGTTGTCCTGCACATGTGCTGAATATAGCCTCAGAGTCCATTCTCACTTCCAGGACCCCAGAGCCCATGTTCTGGTTTGTACATCTCATCCCATTACTTAACAGTAAGTCTTTTCTGCAAAGAGCTAACAGGATAATGTTGGCAGTAAGTGGGTACTGGAGACCTCTGTCTTGGGGTTGCCTCCCAGATCTGGAGCTAGCCATTTGCTAGCTCTGTAACCATAGCAAGTTCTTTGACTGAACTGTACCTCTACCTCTACAAAACATAGGATGGTAATGGCGTGCCCCTTTTGAGTTCTTGTAAGGTCAAATGGCAAGTGTCATTAAAGTACCAGAGGTCTAGTACAAGGTAAGTACAATAGACACTGTTGGGGTCAGGTGGAGCCTTGTGTGGATGTCACCTGCTGTGCCCCAGCCCCAGCCCCAGTTAACTGCTACTTTCCTCAGTTCTCTCAGGCTGGCCAGGCCCTATGATAGTCCTTGTATTTGCAGATAAGGAATCAAAGCATAGAGAAGTCAGATGACCTGCCTAAGATCACTGTGCCTTTAAATAAAGGTGCCAAGCCTCCAGGCCAGCCATTTTTTTCTAGGTGTCTGGACCTCGAATGTCCCAGTCAAGAGAAATTTCTTAATAAGATCATCTCTCAGGCTGTGAAGCAGGTGGGCTACTTTAATTGGATATTCTCCACTGTAAAATGACCTTGGATTCCCCCCCCAAGAGTCTGTTCAAACACACAGCTGAATTCACCCCAGATTTTGGGAACCAGCAGGGTTGGGAGTACAACCCAGGAGTACACACTTTAGACATCCTCTTGGATTGTGTCCTGGCTGCTGCTCTGGGGACCAAACTTTGAGGATCCATGGCCAAAAATGCTCCTCAGAAGTTATGTGAAGTAGAGGCTGGAGATACGGATCAATGGTTAATAGTAGTTGACCATCTTACAGAGGACCCAGACTTAGTTCTAAGCACCCACATTTGGTGGTTCACAAAAGCCTATAACTCCTGTCTCACAAAGCTGCACATGGTGTACATACATACGAGCAGACACTCCCATATACACACAAATGAAAAGCAAATAACTGCTTCTCCATTATGTCACATAGTCGCCACAGTAATTATTTTACTTAGAGGAACATAATTCCCTAACTCTTATGAGCCTATAAAACCACTGTGAGAGAGTATGACTAGTTTCTACTGACCATAGCTTGTGGAACTCATCACTGTACCGTTAGTGTTTCAGGAGTGTGTTTACGCAATGTGTTGCATTTTCTTTTAAAATAAATAGGCCAATAATAAGACTACATGAGTTGTGCTAGGGTTGCTGCAGAGTCAATAGTGTTTTTATCTTTGTTAATCTACAGGCATCTTTCTGTTTGAAAAGCTGTTCCCTGTTGCATTCATAAACTATTCCAGCTAACCCCTTAGCAAATGAAGGAGCTCTGAGGGGACACCTCTACCCTAGAGCACAGGCTGAGGTCCACTGTCCTTAGGGCACAGGCTGAGGTCTGCTGCTATAAGGTTAAAAAGAAATCCATTTGTGAGGAAAATTGAACTTAGACAAAGGAGTTGGAATGAGAGCTCCAAACAGCAAAGAGCTATTCCAAATTTGTTGTGCATATGCATAAGAAAACATTTACGGGTTGTGCCGATGCTCTCCAGTGCTAGAGAGGTTGACTGTGTGGGCAGGTATCCTGTCACTACCTACTGCCAAGTGTTCACATTGTGAACACGTAAGATTCAGTTCCAGGTCCCCTGCCACCCTCCCAGGTACCACAAGCCCCCACTGCGGCATGATCTCTATAAACAGCCCCTTCCTGCTTTAGCAGATGGTACCTGTTCAGACCTACCTCTGCACCTGCACCCTCAGTGTACCCTGTAGGTACTATCCATCCATGCTCTCTGGAAGCTTGGTGCATGCATAGCTCAGGCTGCCCACCCCGAGGTACAGGCTCAGAACTGCTTTAGATGCTCCAATTGTCTATTTGATGCCTTGTTGTTGCTGTGTTACTATCTTGTGACTTATTTTTGCAATGACACTGAGTGGCCTCCTGTGTTGTCTCTTTCAGCCAGTAATGTTAAAATAGAGACTCAGAGTGATGAAGAGAATGGGCGTGCCTGTGAAATGAATGGGGAAGAATGTGCAGAGGATTTACGAATGCTTGATGCCTCAGGAGAGAAAATGAATGGCTCCCACAGGGACCAAGGCAGCTCGGCTTTGTCAGGAGTTGGAGGCATTCGACTTCCTAACGGAAAACTAAAGTGTGATATCTGTGGGATCATTTGCATCGGGCCCAATGTGCTCATGGTTCACAAAAGAAGTCATACTGGTAAGGCCTGACATAGTTTTTCCTTGAGTGTTTCCTGAGGTCCTGTGGGGGCTGAAGGAGCAAAATGTACTGTCAAGGGCTGGGGATGCAGCTTAGTATTGTAGAGCACCTGCCTAGCACACACAAGTCCCTAAGTTCAAAGACCAGAAGGAGGGTGGGAAAGGGAATGTGGTCTTGAAGCATGTTTCCCATTGGCTAGCAGGGAGGCAGTTGCATATAAATAGCTCCCAAGTTGTACTGAGGCAAAACTTTCTTACTCTGGGGCAGTATTTGAAAGGTCTTCTCGGCAAGTACCTAATCAACCCTGTGAACAAAAGAGAAGGCTAACAGCGTATTATGTCAGCTTCTGAGACTCTGATATTATACTCACAAATAAAAAAGAGAGAGAGAAGCTCCCAGCAACCATGAGCGTGTGCTGACTCTCATGTCCAAAGCGTCCATCCTTCACAAGACGAGATCAAAAGCTAGAGCTGCACCAAACCTGACTTCACAGATTCCCATTGAGAAACTCTACATAAAATACTTGTTTTAATCTTGTTGACACACAAGACTCTCTGTTCAGAGGCATTAGTGAGTAGTGGCCTAGCAGCAAAATGTTTTTTGGAAAGGGTGCAGGTCAGCATAAAGTGATTCACCCTACACTCTGAGTCTGTGGGTCAGCTGGCCATATTGCCTCAAGTTTTCATTCCCAGAATGGTAGGAAACTTTCTGCCAAACTCCTGTTATGGTGGAAGGTTTGCATAAGGATTTAAGAGAATAAGAAAACGCAATAGTCTATTCAGAACTAAGTAAGTGTTCAGAAGCCATGCCTACCCCTGCCACTGGCACTGTGAGAAGCCTGCCCAGCTTCAGTTTGCTATACTACCCCTGTTCCAAATGAATATCAACAGTCAGCTACTTGTTCAACATAACTGTCACTCCACCATCACTAAGGACACTAAAGAGGCTTCCTATAAAACATTAATGGCATTCAGTACAATTGTTTGCATGGTAAAGAGAAACATTACTCTTCCTTCCATGGAAGTTTCTTGAAAGGTAAGTATCATAACCTGGCAGGTTCACCCAACTCTCATAGCCACATAAAGCTTACAAGTAAAACTTAGAGACCCTGGGCTATCACTACCCATATACAGGCTTCTTTGGGGCATGAGAATGCTAGCATCTGCTACTGCAGTATCCAGGAGGGAGAAGAAAAACAAGCACAAATGAATGATAGCATGTTTTGTTAGACATCTCAGAAAGCTGAGGAAGATGGCTTGAAAATGACAGCCTTGTCTGTTTCTTACATAGGACCCAACAAGTGTGTGTTATCCAAAAAGCAATCAGGAGCTAGAACATGTATGGAGCAGTAATGCTGTCATCAAGGAATAGAGGTGTTTCCAAGATTGTGGTTTTATATATAAGCAGAAACAGTTTCCAAAATTATATATTCCATGTATAGTATATGTAGAAATGATTTATAAGATGATACTTTAATAAATGTTTGTCTTCAACAAAAGTTTAACTTTAAAATTAGGCAAATTTGGCATTTCTGATGGGACCCTTTAGTTCTCAAGTTACTCACTGAAATAGTCCTGGCACACCCAGCCCTGAGAAAACCAAATGTGAGGGCAGCCTTGCTCTTGCCTTCTGTGATGAGGTAGAAATTAACATGGAGACTCCTGTGACAGATGCTCAACCACTCTAGGGCCTGAAGCAAACCACTGCTGATGGGGAACATCTGACTGTACAGTGAAAATCCCCTTAGATAAATATTTGAATCAAATTCTGATGTGCTAAATTGCCAACATTTTGCCTTGACTTGAAGAAGAAGAAGAGGAAGGAGAAGGAGAAAAGAAGAAAAATTACATGTATGATTAAACCTGCCATCAACAGATCTGGGAGAGTACCTGATACTTGCTACATTCTTTCCTCAACAAATAGTGACCAAGTATCAGATCTACTCCAATATGCTAAGCTCTTCAAGTTTAGAACAGAAAACTTACAGAAAGAGGAGCATACAACCCACTGTATCAATCCTGACTAGACCTTCACTTTAAAAACAAGAAGAGATTACACACACACACACACACACACACACACACACACACACAAAGTTTTGATCCTGGCCGAGTTCACAGTCTATCTTCATATATGTGAATACACAAATCCCCAGGTAGAAATAAAAAGCGCATTTAGCCAACTAGGTTTGAATAACTAGACAGGACAGACAGGTTTTCTCTTCCAGGTCTGGGTGGAATGTGGCAGCCAAGTTCTGGGCTCTGCATTCCTACAATAACAGCAGGCAATGAGAACACTACCCTCCACCCCACCCCTGTGAAAGGAGCTTCAGATCACTTGGAATCCTGAGAAAATGCAGGACCTAATTCAGATCATGGGAGAATCTAGAGAGCCAGCATTCCTAAGAAGTCCCCAAGAATGCTAGGCATGGGACCTGGAGCACAATAAGCCTCTGGGGACATGCTGTTGAGGATGGGACAATAAGCAGAGCCATCTCTGGGGCCTCTGAGAAGCACCCCAGTGGACAAGCTAGGATGAGCACCAGAGCCTCTCTTCTTCCCACTGCCCATGACCCAGTCAACCCAGGCTCATGGCTTTGCAGTCCCTTTTCTAGTAAACAGAGATCCCAGGGGCATAGCCCAGCTTCTGCTCCACTTGCTGGGTGACATTCCACTGCTGCCATTTTCTAAATGGCTTGTGGGCACCAGTGTGTCACTTCCCCTAGGGAGCTCCATTGGTTTCATGTTTGATTCGAGTGTCACAATCCCAACGTACCCACAACATCTCAGGATGAGTATGAGGGTCACCCTGGGGTGGTGGGAAAGCTGCAGCAAGTGCAGTGGGGCCCCACCTGTAACACCATTATTCTGAATAGTAAAGACCAGGAAGTGGCCTGAGCAGAACAAAAAGTCTGGCTTCCTGTGGTCTCCTGCCTAGCAGGTGCTGCCACAGGCATGGTAGTTACAAATCTATTCTTGTATGCCATGTGTTTTTTTTTTCTTAAATATACCTCTGCAGACAGGCCCTCAGATGTTCTACCATGGTTTTTTTTTTTAAAGAAGCTATTCTTTATTACCCAAGTAAAGCGTCACAAGCATTATGATGGAATAAAAAGTGTGGAGTGCCTGGGATGGAAATTAAATTTAGAATTTGTAAATCTAATGTCTCATCCCAGTTAAATGGAGGTAGATACAAGTTTAGAGAACCTTAACCTAGCTACAAGCTGTTGTCCTTCAGGAAACAGGTCATGGCCAACTGGCAATAGAAACAGACAGGGGCTGTGTCCTATGAGCCAGCTCTTCAAACACACCCTCTTATGTGTAACACCTGCATTGAGTAGAATACCATATGGCCCACTTTAGAAAGGTGGTCTCCAAGACTCCCCACCATGGGTTCTACATCCCACACAGGCAATTGGAAATCAGTAGATTTGCAGTAATGCTGCCTTTGCTTTGTGGCAGGGATTGAGACACCAAGCAAGCAGTCCCCATGAAGATGCTTTGACTCAAGTGAGAAGGCAGTTCTCAGTCCCCAAAGAATGCCCATTTTCCCTTCCTGTAGAAGAGCAATGTGCTTTGAATTATCAGTCCTGTCTGTCTCCCAATGACTAGCTCAAAATTCACATCAGGGAAACATATCCCTGGAACACCTCGGCAGCTCAGAAAGCGGACTTTCAGCTGCTAAGCCAGTGACTTTGCCCACTGGGATCACCGGGAGTGTCTCCTTTCTGTTACATGTGCTTTCCCTTGCAGCCTGAGGGCCCACCCTCTCTGAGTAAGGGCTACATACAGTATTCCGTTTCCCAGCTGCATCTTCCCGCATACACTGTTCGATTTTCTTTTTCCCACTCATCCAATTGGAGCTGAACATTTTGTGAACACAGTGTCAGCTGAGTGTGCAGTTGGGTCTCACAGACGTGGTGATGGTTAGCAAGGCTACTTCAGTTACCATTCTTTGTCCTCCTTGACTTTAAATGGTGTCTTCACATTCAGCTGGGTCTCATCCAGACAGGAATTTTGGGAAATTTTGAATACTTACTGGTTAGTATGAAGAACCCTCTGACTGGCCGTTAAGTATTATTGTAAATTAGTTCTAACTTTTGTGTTTGAACTGCCCAGTGAAAAAGACTTAGTGGTAATGAGAAAATTGAAGCACCAGTATACACATTAAAGCTTAACCTGCATGGGTTTTAGCAGCACCACCTGAGCTCTTCTTCAGTAACTATGATAAACTCTCTGCTTCTCCTCCATTCCCCAGTTGGAGAAATGTTAACTGGATATTTTTAACACACTGTTTATCCTTAAGAGAAATGTGTCCCAGAACATGGGTCTTTTGAATGAAGAAGCATCCTGTTCTTCAAAAGCAGCTTTGATAAGGAATGTGATGGGCACATCTTCCTAAGAGTTAAAGGCTGAGTTAGTGTCCACCCAGCAGGGCAGTCACACACTCCTTATTCACAAGTAGCCCTTCACCTTCTCCAGACCCATGGTGTAAGCCGAAACTCTTGGGCGCAAATTGCAGGAACCCTGGGCTGTCTCAGTCACAAACTGAGTAACCTCCTTGGTAAAGCCTTCAATGGCAGCAAGATCTGTACCTGAAACATGACTTGTCCACTGCGGACACAAAAATGAATCTGAAGAATCTCCAAGTTGTGAGGAAAGGGAAAGGCAGGAAGTTTCAGGCAATTCCCTGTGCTGCCAAGCGCAGGAGCCAGGGGTTCCCTCTGGAGGACAGGCCGCGGCTGTCCTGTTCCTGAACTTCTATTTTATTCAATCTTTCTCCAGTCTCTCCCTCTCACGCTCACACTTTCTCTGTCTGTCTCTCTCCTGATTTGCCTGCTTAGGGACAGACAGGTAATGGAGAAGAAATTGAAAGGGAAAATACAGGGAAAATGTAAATGAAAAGAAGTTATTATAACTGTTATAATGAAGTGCCTTTCATTTAAATATAAGAATGTAACGCTGAAATGAACTTGTGATCCTGAAATGCATTTTTAATGAGTTTCCTTTTTATTTTGCTGCTTCAGTGGCATATTTTAAAGACCCTTTGAAAAAAGCCACATTAAAAACCCCACCAAATGCCACAACACGCAAAATTGGATATTGGTTTATTCCAAAACTGCTGATCAGGAAGAGTGACTCTTCATCACAAAATGTTGCAGTCACTTTATTTAAATGAGTTTGAATTTGCATTGTGATGTGCCATTCTGATTTAGGGAAAAAAAATTAGATTTTCAGATCAAATTGACCCAGCCAGTGAAGCGTTAAGCAGCTGGCAGGTTTAGTCTGAAAGCCTCATGTTCTATCAAACCTGCAGCCGGTGGAAGTCACCAAGCCCATGGGAAACAACTTTCTTGCGGCCGTCCTCCTGAGCAGCTCTGGCTCAGTACTTACCAGGGTACCCTCTTCCCTTCTCGCCCAGGTGAACGGCCTTTCCAGTGCAACCAGTGCGGGGCCTCTTTTACCCAGAAAGGCAACCTCTTGCGGCACATCAAGCTGCACTCAGGGGAGAAGCCCTTCAAATGCCATCTCTGCAACTATGCCTGCCGCCGGAGGGATGCCCTCACCGGCCACCTGAGGACGCACTCCGGTAGGTTTCCTGGGCATGACAGGGATGACAGGCCCTGACCATCTCTGTGTGTAGGGGCCCCAGATCATGTGTCCCATGTTCCCAGCCACTACCCTTCCAATCCACCCAGCCCACAGCCCTCTGGAGGTGTGGACCTCCTACGTGATGATCAGTTATTCCTACTGAAGGAGAGTAATGGGTGGGAGGTGTACACATGAGGAAAACCCACCTCCTTTGTGTCTTTTAGAAGAGTTTTCCCCTCCCACCATGTCAGGTAAGTGTTTTGTTTTGTTTTGTTTTGTTTTATTTTGTTTTGTTTTGTTTTTCTGAAGTACACTGCTCATGCCCTTAGCTTTCCAAACACATCCTTTTATATCTATTGCTATTCCACACATATCACTGGCTTGTGTGAAATATATTGAATAGCAGTAATAAACATAATTTTCCTTGCAGAGAGGACACAGGTAGGTTGGTCGGAATATAACCCTGCCAGCCCAGGGCACACTGCTCGAGCCAGAGAGTAACTCCCAGGCCGGAAACCAACAGAGGCTTTGATGGGACTAATCGGTCTAGAGTTGTCAGCAAACTGCAGACAGGAAAATTTCCCTGTAAGGATGCCCCATGTACTCTAGAGTACACAATCTACATAAATGCTGGACAGTTGTCAAAATGTTCCCAACCTGACACACAGCCTCATCTTTAAGTAGATCACATCTTCTGCCTCCTGGGTGGCTTCTTATCCAGTAGCCTCACAAGCCTCCAGGTCTGAGATATAGGGATTTTGTCCAGCAACTGTGTGTTGTTTATGCTTGCAATCTAGTCAGTATGTGTAACACGCACATGTTACTTTCATTCTGTGTTGTCAAGTGGTGTGTCATGGACTACACTGGCTTTGGGAGCACTAGGTTGATGAGCCTTGCTCCTTTCCTCCAAGAGTGCCCTATCATAGCCAGCCATCACTCTGCCATTGCTCAATGACAGGAGGAAGGTCCTCAGCTCACCTCCTTCCCAAACAGGACAGATGCATCTCATGGTGCAAGTTACCCATCTCTTTTCCCCATATTTTCTAAGCCCCTCAACAGCATCCTATGTGCATGTGACATGGTAGAGTGCTGAGGGTCCTAGAGGAGCAGAATGAAAAGGTAGTCTGTCCTGTTTGGAGGATCAGGAGAGATTCCTACAGCAGGGGGCTAGAGGACATGGTCAGCCCAAGCCCAGTTTGCTTTAGGGGAACTCTAAACCAATGAGAGCAGAGCGTTACTACAGTGCACATTTTAACAGGTGGTGTCCAGAGCTGGTTTTCCTGGTTAGTGGTCACCTCCAGGTGGGCAGCTGTAGAGAAGGGAAGGAGCTAAAGCTGAGTCATCTCCCCTGTACTCTCTTCCCCATCCTGACTGACAGTGAACAGTCAGGAGACTCCTAAAGACATATAGCAGAAAGTTGTGATTTGGGTGAGTTTCTTGGCACTACCGAGAACGGTGGTGCCCTCCATTAAGGAGCTGCCCTCTCAGGAAGCATGTGAGTCAGACAGCGTGTCAGGGGACAGACACTTCCCTGTCCCAGGTAGGACACTAGCTCAGACCTGGGAGGGAGTTTTCTACAAGGAATGAGAAGAACCGAAGGCTTCCTGAGATGTCTGTATGTACATGCTCTACAAGGTGAAGGTGGTGCAAGGCAGAGAGTGACATACAGACCCATGTAGGTGGCAGGTGACTTAGGAGAAAGTCACATAAACACAGTTGGCAGGCACCATGCACTCAGATTGGCAGCAAGCACAGCTTCCCAAGCCAGTGGAAAATTCCAAGACCCACTTTTAGGCTGATACCAGCCACAGCACTGTCACCCTTAAATTACTGGTTTACAATATAAATCTTTTCTACATACATCCTTCAGCTGTGAGACAGCAAGATAACATCTTGTGAAATCGCTGCAGGGGTTTGCCTTTTGCCTACATGCTTGGTCATTGCATTTAAGGCATGGTGATATCCTCCTCGGTGGCTAATGACTTAAGTAGTTATTTAAAACAGATGGAGGGCTCCTGACAGTTCCTTCTGCCACAGAGTCACCAATGATCTGGTAGACCTGGGGTGTCGGTGACTCTATTGTCTGAAAATGCCCCTAACAAATACAGCTCTGGGAGAAAAGAAACACTGTGTTTTCTTCTTCAAAGCAATTTTACCAGAATGACAGGACTTTGGCCTTTGTCTGCAAAGTCCAGAGTAGTGTATTTTCTTAGTGTGTGAATGGCCATGCCCACATTCCATTAAAAGCTAGGGTCAACCATAGCTTTCCCTAGCATCAGGTAGTGGTCTGAGGTTCTATACTCCAGTGTGGTAATGGAATTTGTGCTGATATCAGGGTTGGTACTACAAACTTTGTTAGAGACAGTTAGGTTCTTGTGTTCTAACATTAAAGCCAAACATATACTCAAAAAAATCAGGCACCATACCATTTATACAGGAAGGCAATTTGATTCACGAAATGACTAAAATTAAATTTTTTTCAGGAAAAGACATGGAGTATGACTTTCTGTCGTATTAATTCCTATGACAATAGAATATAAATGTGCAACCATGTGCAATATTAGTTCCATATTTCATCATTTGTGGTACTTCACTGTCTCTAGACAAAAATTGAATAAGGACTGGAGAGATGGCTCAGCAGTTGGAGCACTAACTGTTCTTCCAGAGAAGCCTCGTTTGATTCTCAGCACCCACACAGCTATTCATAATTATCTGTAACTCCAGTTCCAGGGGATCCAACTTCCTCTTATAGCCTTTACAGACAGGCACCAGGCAAGCAAGTGGTGCACACACATACATGCAGGTGAAACACACATACCCATGAAATTAAGTAAAATAGAAATCTATTTTGGATTCTGTAGATGAAGCTTTGGTTTTCATGAGAACATCTTCAGAGCATCTGGTCACTTAGGAAAGGGATTTAAGTAACATTGCATTAAACCAGTTACCAAACATTCCTGTTTGGATGGCTTTATATCGTACTTAGCATGAGAAGTACGACGTTATGTTGAGGTGAAAAATCTATATTCCTCATAAAGTAATTGGAGAACGTCTTCTCTAAAAAGGGTCTTTATTGAAGTCTTTAAAAACAGGTATCACATGGACCCTTTGCTATTCTTCTCCTAAAATATCTCAAAAACCCAGGAAGGACTAGACTTAGTAGAACAACATTGCCCCACATAAAAGCCACTGGCCATATGTGGCACTTAAGTTTTAAGTTAAATTAAAATTAAACAGAATTAAAATGTTAGTCTTCTAGCCAAACTTAGAAACTCCATGTGGCTGGTGGCTACCATATTGAACAATACAGTGAATGCCATGGTGAACAGACATGCAAAGAACACTTAGAGTGTTAGAGTGAGTACTAATGGGCAAGGCTGATCTGGAAATTTCATCATCTCATATTCTTTGGGGAAAAAACAGAGGCTTTCCATATGCTCTTCCTATGCAAAGCACATTGTATATTCTCCGTGTATATGAAAACAAATTTGGTTTATCCATATCCTTTTTCATTTTGTGGTTTTTATATTATATATTCTTAAGTGAGATAGTATGTACTGTAAGTATAAAATACATTTGTATTATATAATAGAAAGATACAATTTAGAAATATTCACTTCACTAAAGCCTTTTCCTGGCATGGTTTTAGAGACCTTGAGCAACCTCGTTTGGCTTCCTGAATTTTCACCTTATTCCTTAGAAGTCATCCCAGTGAGGGGTAGGCCTGGGGAAAGGCCCACACTGACAGAGAATCTGTACTCTCCTCATGTTTCTGTCCACACTGGAGCATGGAGATTGGTTACTTTTTCCCATTAAAGGACACACTTCAGTGATTTAGAAAGGAGCTTGATAGTCAGTGTCATAGATTAAGGTGAAAAAGAGTCATGAACTCTTGGTACAACCAACAATTCACCTGGGCATTAACATTTTTAAAAATCATTAATTTTGACTAAGTCCATAATAGTCATAGCTCTCAAGAGAGTACATTATATTTTTTTATCTTTTTTTGTTGTTGTTGTTGTTATAAATGTATTGCTTGCATCCCCATTACCCAGAAGGCCGATATTTCATTGGAGTCTTAAACTCAATTGTGTTTTCTGCAGTTGGTAAGCCTCACAAATGTGGATATTGTGGCCGGAGCTATAAACAGCGAAGCTCTTTAGAGGAACATAAAGAGCGATGCCACAACTACTTGGAAAGCATGGGCCTTCCGGGCATGTACCCAGGTAAGCGCTGAAGCTCCCCGTTGAGCTGCACCCCTCCCCCCTCCCAGCACCTGGGTCAGGAGGGGGCTCTGTGGGCTCTTTCAGCCACTGGAGGAACTTTTTATCCAATAGCACTGCAACTACACTAGGGACAAATCGTGCTTCTCTACTTTCCAAGTTCTCAATTGACCAGTTAGAACCTGTCCTAAGACCTACCTTAACGGTAGTGACCCTTTTAAGATTCTGTGTTGTGGGGTATTTTGTCATTGTTGTTTGGGGTTTTTTTTTAGGGGGAGGGGGCAGGATTTAAACCAGGATGAATTGGCTGAAGCTGTAGCTAAGTGATGAAAGAACTTGCCAGGTGTGCAAGAGGCCCTGAGTTTGAGCTCCAGCACAAGTGAGAAAATCAAATAACCACGCTAGAATAGTGTCATTCGTGATTGCTTCTTCGTGTTTAAAAGTCCAAATAAAATGTGAGTCTTTTTTTTTTAAACTAATTACTCATGAAGGTCTTCGAAGAAGAACTGTTGGGCTGGGACTAAACATTGGTGTAGACTGAGTTTTGAGTATCCACACTTAGGGAGAGGGCAGAACTTGTTGGGAAACCTGGCAGGCACTGGTTCTAAGCGTGAGGAAGAGTGCTGAGATGGGTACTGAGCACTGCCTTGTAGTGAGAATCAGTCTCTAATTTGTCCTGCCTGGTGTCTGTGATTCAGAGCACTGCAGTGATGGCTTCATGCTCCAGTTCTTTCTCAAGAAATGAGAAATTACTCTTGCAAGAAGCAGCAATCTGACCTCAGCATGCCCAAAGAGACAGGCACCGCCATTTAATTACATTGGGTTCCTTCCTGCCTCCATCTCATGGCACATTAAGATACACAAGATGATCATAGACCACTCCCGCCAAGCCAGTGCCAGCCAACTTCCATCGCTGTAATGGGTGTCTAAGACAACCAGTAATAATAGGAAGGTAATTCTGTTTTGGAATTTTGGAGGTCTCCGGTCCATGGTTGGTTGGTTGGCTACATTTGGCCATGTCATGCTGGGAGCATAGGTACACTGAAATCTCCTGCCAGAGGGATCCTCATGAGCTAGGAGAAAGAGAGAAGGAAAAGGCTAGGGACCCATGCTCCCTGTTGAGCGCATGTCCCAATGCCTTAAGGGCTTCCCCCAAGACTCGACCCCACAAGGTTTCCAGCAACCTTTACTTGCATCATCCTAGAGCCAAGGCCTAGCATGTGGGTCTGTGGGGGACACTCCAGCTGCAAACTGTAGCTGCCTAGGTCATGCCTTATTTCACTGTTTCACCCCTGTAACACCTGCCTTGTAAATATTCAATGAGTGCTGGCTTAGGGAACATGGCATGAGGCTCCAGAAATGAACTTCAGTGTCCAACCTGCCAATCAACATGTATGTTCTCATCCATCTCCCTCAGATCATCTCATTATCCACAGACCTATTTAGGTTGGCTCCATTAGTTAAAAACTGCCTAACTCAAGAGATGTAAGCTCAAGAGATGTAAGAAAAGTTTTTTTTTTTTCTGGACATAATTTTTAGTAAAAAGATTGAGGGAGACGTGTTACACTTTGCTGATATCTTCATAGGATAAGGAACTATCTCCTGAACCTCACATACACCAAGAACAGAGAAAAATTACTGGGCTCAGAGGTGTGGCATGCTCTCACCTGAGGGATGGGGCACCTGAGAGAAGGGAAGCTATGTAAATGAGCATATTAGCTCTATAAATCACATGTATGAATGACTTCTAGAATTAGATTTTATGACTTTCTGTATTTCCTCCTATTAATCAGAGTGGGCTGAATGTTGAGCTATTTAACAAGACACCCTCATAATTCACTGTTAACAGAATATGCCAGCAGCATGCAATTGACTATAAATGCAGGTTTCAAAGTGAAGATATAAAATTCATAAGGGTCGTGTGGGCATGCAGGGTACAGAATAAGGGGCAGAAGGCTACCAGGTCATCCCAGGCAAGGGGGAAATGTAGAAGATGACAGAGTGAATGAAGGCTGGGCCATCCATGAATACCCACCCAAATCTAAGCATAGTTTTAACACAAAATGTTGTGTGCATTTTGTTAACATTTGATTAAACATTTCTTGTAAAAATATATCAGAAAAAAAAATTAGAACATTGGCAAGGCTAGAGTTACATGAAGATGTAGCCATGGCTCAAGTTACTCTTTGAGGAGCATGAAGATAAACTAGATAGAATCAGATAAATCTATTACCATAAGATAAGGAACTAAATCAATGGCCTGTCTGAGAAGGGAAACACTCAAGGCAAAAACAGTCTTGGAAGAGCTGATTAAAAAGCAGAAGCTTATCACTTTACACTTTCAGCTCCTGGGAATGAAGAGATTGTATATTTTAGAAGTCCCTGCCTTGCAAACTACATGTCCAATAGATGAGACCATGCAGGAGACAGTGGGACCTTCACTTATGGGCAGGAGGAGTTGGTAAAGAAAAGGAGATAGATTGAGCTAACCTTTATGTCTGCATTTCCCTTAATGAATGCTCAGCTTCCTACCCTATGCAACTGCTACGTGGTCATTAGGCATTTGCTATGTGGTTGGGGACTGTTCCCTATATAGTTGTGACTTCAGACCCTTTGTCCATTTCTGGACCTGATGATATTTGGTTCTCATGGTTATTGTTAAAGTTGGTTAAGGCAATTTTGACAAAGGACCCTCCAAAGTAAAACAGTTAATTCATTGAGATTCAGTCTTGCATGGTAGACAAGCAGCTTGTTGTTTTGGTCTTAGGGATAATGTGGGTTGAACAGCTGGAGGCTGGGATGCTAGCAGGTGGCTAGTCATTGGCATTGCTGCAGCTGGTTCTGCCAGGGGCTGGAGCATGAGAAAAGTGCTCTTGTTGCCACTTTATGCATGTGTGGCTAACACTGGAAACAGCAGTATCTTGAAGTTCAAGTATTTCTAAACTAGCCTCTCTAACTGTCTTTGACTTTAGTCATTAAGGAAGAAACTAACCACAGCGAGATGGCAGAAGACCTGTGCAAGATAGGAACAGAGAGGTCCCTTGTTCTGGACAGGCTGGCAAGCAACGTCGCCAAACGTAAGAGCTCTATGCCTCAGAAATTTCTTGGTAAGAGTTAAATGTTTGCTGTCTCTTAATATAGAACTATGTGGGTGTTTTAGACAAATAAAAATTATTTGAAAGTAGAGGAAAAGAAAAAAATCTCCCTTTTGGAAAAAAGAAAGCTTAATATTTCTTAAATACTGTAGAATGTTTTTCTAATAATTTTCTTCAAACTGTCAAGCCTTTTACCAGGAATTAGACAGGGTGTCATAGCATCTGGAGCCTTTGGTATGATGCTTCTGTGGCCACTCTGACAATGGTTAGATCAATTGTTTCTGAGCTTCAAATCACATTTTCCCAGGAAGCTCATTTACCACTCCCCTCCAAGGACAGTGAGGGCTAAAAGGAACCAGAGATGAGCCCCTTAGAGGACAGTGAAGCGGTGGAGCTACAATTGCTGCTATGATCACTGAGTCCTTACTTGTCCTTGAGACTATGTGGATAATGCAGAGGGAGGGAGTTGTCCATGAGGCACTGTTGTCTACACTAGATCATAGATCTCAAGCCTGCCAGCTAAGGAAGACACTTCAAGGACAAGGATGAGACAGATGCTTGAATGGCACCAAGAGCCTCAGAGGCAGGCTTTAGATCAGAACAGAGACACGTGTTAACTCTATGGAAACAACATGGAGGAAATGACCCAACATTCCCAAGCCTGGGTTCTATTCTTTGTGTGTCTCATATGACAATTGGGAGCATAAAAATGCCCCCACAGATATAAACAATTTTAGAAGCCCTCAGTAGGAAGGTCAGCTACTATCATTGTCAAGAAAGGAAATCTTATGTCCAAGAAATAAAAATTAACGTGTTTCAGAAGCTGAGGTGGACTTTGGGAAAGGGGCAGGACTTCAGCACCATGCCATACAGAGAGTGGAGGAGTCATGGAGTCTAGGTAGACAAGGAAAAATAACTATGCTGATGTTGGGGTCTGGAATAGAACTCGTAGGACATGATGAAGGATGGGTATTTTCCCAGCTTTGCCCAGGTACCCACTGGAAAGCAGTGAGTAAAGTTGTCCGATGATGCTCTGACTATAACAGTAATGGTTGTTGAAGGTCAAACTGGGCAGTGTAGTCTCATTTGGAATCACAGAAGAAAGCAGAAGTGTGCTCCCAATGGGAGCAGAGAGTGAGCACATAAGACAGCATGGTCAAAATTACCTGGAGATGGAGATGGCAGGAATATAGGTAGTAATCAAAGGAGAATGGTTTGGGGAAGAAGGAATGGAGGTCAAGGTAGGGCTGGTGAAGGAAACTGTGGCTTCCCTTGCTTAGTGTGCCATTTGCAGAAAAGATGAAGCCAAGTCTGGAAAATCAGAGTTCAGGGTTTGATGTAATTGTTTTCAAGAATGCCACCCTGGTAAGGCTAGCCCATAGAAGCTGTGCTACAGAGGACATGCAAATAAAAAATTGGTGACATGCACACCTTTACACCAGGGTACCTACATTGAGCCAGAAAGACAGAAGTCAGGTTCTAGGAGTTGGGAAGAAGGAGGAGAAGACCATTAGAAAACAAAGCAGAAACCACTTATTGGAACTATCATTCATAGACTTGTCTCTGTGTATGTGAGCCTTTGAAGCAAAAGAATGAAGGAGACCTCATTTCCTGATCAAAGAAAGAGGGAATCTTGGTCAAGGAGCCAGCTGTTGGGTAGCTGAGTCTTTAGAAAATATGAGGTGGAGGGCCCCTATCTTCTCCCTGAGGAGTGCACAGAAGACAGGAACCATGGAGAGAGTCTGGTGGGCTATCTGGGACACTGGCAGAGATGAAGCGGCAAATGTGTTCAAGGGTTGTGAAGAGTGACTGACCTCAGGAGGCAGGGTGTGACTTCCTCTTTCCGATTAGGAACCTGAAGAATGCCACATGCTTTAGTACTGAGCATCTGCAATGCCCTTAAGCTTCAGGAGACTTCCAGCCAAACAGAGCATCTGAAATTTTACCATGACTGTCCTAGGTGAATGGGCATTGTCTTGATTCACATGCTCTGTGGGAAAAAGATCCATAAAACTGGTGAAGCAACAGCTGAGAGGGGAAAGCAATCTCCAGGGGAGAGGTTAAACATAGGAGGAAGTGGCTTTGTGGGAACAGGAGGACCAGGATAGCAGAAGTGAAGTGTGCAAGGAAGGGCTCCAAGCAGCTGTACTCTGTTGGTGTTCCCCCAGAGGTGATTGGCAGTTCGCGGACTAACCAGTGCTTCTTCCTGCTCTCACTCTGCCTTCCTCTCGGTGCTGTATGACGACATTCCTGTCCACCCTTCCTATTACTGTGTCACAGTTTCTCTCTAAAATGAAGAGAAATGGACCTTTAAGGATGCTCTCCACATTTAGGATAATATACTATTCTGTACCTGAGATGCTTGATAGCTAGTAAGAGTTTTGATAGAAGTAGTTGATGTTTTTTCAGATAACCAAATGCAACAGCCAGAAATTACCAGTATTATATTAGAAAATCAATGTAGATATCTTCCTGACATATATATTTCAGTGGACATGATTAATGATAGGTGGATTACAATATAGAGGTGTGAAGTAAATGCCTTTTAAGTTCCTGAATGTGCCACCTCAGAAAGATTGCAACTGTTCTTCCTTGTGATAGAGGTGTTGGTTTGCTTCCCCTCTTCCCATGTATTGCTAGAAAATAAGTTCACAGTGACCATGGCATATTCAACATGTCTTAAACTTTAAGAAATAACGGATCCCCAAATAAAAATTCACTCCCAAAGGGATTCTACTTTTTAGAAAGAATTAGTCAGAAAAAAATTATTATAAAAATTAGTTTTAAAAAACAGTTTTATTGCTTTTATTTTTACATTGTACATCTCTATTCACATTCTATTAAAAAATTATTATTATTACATAATTTAGATATTCATCACTATATATTTTAACAGGTTAAAGAATCAGACCCAAGTCTCTTAGGACCATATCCGTTTATTTTGATTAATTCCTTCATTGAATAGACTTAGCACTCTTATAGACATTCTGTCTCCATCACTACTTTGAGTTTGAGAATGTCACCTGTCACCTTTGTACAGTAACCGCAGGACTGTGTGGCCTCAGGCTACTCTTCCTTCTCTGGCATTGGCAGATCTTTCCCTGGTGCCTGATGGCAATGCTTGCTGAATGATGTGGGCGCTAAGTCCACCTGATTTTCTTTTCTTTAATGAAAATCAATGATCCTCAGACTATATTTAATGATTTTACTTTTCTCTCAAAATATGTAGTGTCCTTTCCTTGAACCTAAGTAAACTATCATCAGTAAGAAGCATTTTGCTGTTTTGCAATCTAGATGAAATGTAGTCTTTAAAACTGGGAGGTTGGTTCTGATAATATCTGTATTCCTCCTGATCACCCACACTCCAGTGTCATTCCCTTCCCCATATCCTGCCTTTCTGTGTTTATAACCCCTGTGTGAATGAATTACGATTTGAGAAAAAATAAATTATAAAAAAATAATAATAAAAAAATAAAACTCGGAGGTTCTTCCTTATCCTTTGGAAACATTCCTTTACATAAATACCAATTGTTCTATCTATTAGGACCTCTCTATTCAAGAGAGCTGGTTGTCCTCAGATTGGATAAATTGTCTCCCATGTCTGTTAGCATTTTGCTATTTTAATTCTTTGTCTTTTTAAGTTTATTTACTGTTATTTTGTATTTTCCCTGCTTTGAGTTCCTCACAATTTTTATTCTAGTATTTGCTATTTCTAACTCACATAGTAAATACGTATTGAATTGGACTTTGTTTTAGTTCCTGAGATCTAAAATCTTCCTCTATTCTGGCTTTTTTTTTTTAGTACTGTCTTTGAATATCTTCAAATTTTGACTGCTTTCATATTCTAAAAATTAAAATAGCTAAAACTTACAAAAAAATTTTTTTTACTCCAAGTCATGAAGTAATTATGCTTCATTACTCCTCTTCCTGGAATTAAGTTTCCTTTTCCCCTAGGATGGACTTACTGGTCTGTCTTACTTCCTTTCGTGCCAAAAAATATTTTCCCTGTAACCATGGCATTTCTTTTCATCCTGCTCATTCTACTTGGTCTAATGTGGCTTGACTGACATTTCAGCGTTCTTCCCATTGTATCTGAGACTTTTCCTATGAGAATTATGACTTTTTTAAATCCTGAAAGAATGCCAAGGATGGTGTTGGGAGAGTTCAGGTGAGGCCAAGTACAGCTTTTATTTAAAATATTCCCCTTTGAGAGCTCTCTCACAGTTTTCAGATTAGATTAAAGCTCTAAACCAGCAGATGATGCCTTTTGTCCTCCTCAAGGGACTTCTCAGGGCTTCACTTCCCCTGAAGTACAACTCATCAAGGCCTTTGCTTCTGTGCAGGGGAGCCTGCCCACATGCAAAGGTCTCTGATGTCATGTGCTGCCTGCAAGTGGAACTTTCAGCTCCATGATCAAAAAAGCGGAGGGCAGAAATTCAGCCCATTCGAACTTTCTGTCAGTGTGAGGGTTGGGAGGGATTGCTGAGAATGTTATTGATGCCATTTGTTTCTAGAAGTGACATTACCCAAAGCTTTGTCAAGTCTCAGGGAAGAAGTTTCTACTCCTTTCCTTGGTCATAGATAAATGAATGTAAAGTAGAAATAAGTAGAAGACAAATAGATGGATGGATGAGATGGATGGATGGATGGATGGATGGATGGATGGATGGATGGGTGGATGGGTGGGATAGATGGACAGACAGACAGACAGACAGACAGACAGACAGACAGATAATAGATTTCAGTGGGGCACTGGGGACTTTTGTAGCTTTTAATATATGGGTAGAGAAATTCTATGGGTAGATTTCTCACATCATACTCATCTAGAATTTTATTGCTTTCTTTGCAACATCTATTTGTTGAAACTATGTTCTTGAAACAGCAGGCTTCAATAGTTGCTTAGAAAACCACAGAACCACAACTCTGGGGAAAAACAGGAAAGTACCACCTTTGGCGAGAGAACACACACTCGTACAGCTAACAGAACTGGGCACCAGGCCACACCCTTCTCCATTGCTAGTGTTTGGTAGCAAATGAGATGCAAGGTCAAGAATGGGTTCCTTGTATCCATGTTTCTAGATACGTTATCACCTTGATTAAAATTTAAAAAAAAACACCTCTCCCCTTGAGTGGAGAGAGATCCTTTGTTTCTTCCATCCACTACTCGTGGCTTTTGCTCTGTCCCGTTTCTGAGCATGTGTAACTAGATATTAACAAGTTTTCTTCCTATAGTCTGAGGATCATTGTATGTCATTATCAGAGTATGTGTTGGTTCTGACATGAGTAGATGAAAGCAAATAAAATCAAGCCATTGTGTTGTGCCCACCCAAAAGATGAAGAAATGCAATGCAAAGAAAGATACTGAGTCAGGAGAAATGTATTCCAGTGCTACTATTAATAGTCACTGATTTTTTTCCAAGGACTATTGGTAGATTTGTGAATTGTGGAATACTTTTCCTGCTATAAACAAAGAGTTTGGGGGAAGTGATGACCTCAGTTCTGGCATGAAGGACACTGGGATCATCTACTACCACCCCATCAGCTGCCTTCAGGTATCACCTGACTGTGCAGCCTGTCACACTTGTAGCTCAGTCTGTTGTCTCACTGTGGCTGGGTAGTTCACTTTCTTTAGACCCTCCATCATTGCCCCTTTTTATTTGAAGTCAGTCAGTCTAGTCTAAGGTTCCCAGCTGCACTTGGACATTGCCTATGCCCTAAGAGCTCTGTATGCCCCCAAGAGCTCTGTCCCCTCAGGACCTTCACTGCTTCTGTCTCCAGCAGTAAGATACAAAAAGCCCCAGCTGGCTCTTACAAGATGAGAAACCTGTGACACTCTGATAGCAAGCCTTCCTCTGCTCGTGGGATTTCACAGATGGCGATGGAGACTGCCGTCACCATTTAGTGTGTATCTGCCCTGCTAGCTGTGTGTATCCAAGGATTCATCTCAAGGATACATACATATCCATTCTCACTGGCTTTCCCTTTAGTCCCACTGTTGAGCCAGACATATAGAAGAGAGGAAAAAGGCATTGTGGGAGGTGAGGGGTAAAAGTCCATCTGATTCTGTAGGCTGCCTTGTTCCACTGAGAGGCTACTCAGGGACTACCCCTGCCAATAGGAATATAAACTATCAATTTACTGAACAAACTTTCTGTCTGAGTCATGATTTCATGTTATACTTCACACCAATGTGTTTAGAAAATGAATCTTTAAGGAAATTCATTTTGTTGTATTATAAAACATTTTACTCCAAAACTAATTATCTGAAGCCAAATCTAGTCTCAACTTCTACTAGTGCCAGGGAAGATTTGTGTTAGCCAGATTTTCCATTATGATAGGGAAATATCTGAGATGTTCAATTTGTAAAAAAGAAGAAGTTTGACTTACAACCTTGGAGGATCCCTTTCCATGATTGATTGATTCTGTTGTGCTGACTCTGTGGCAAGGCAGTACAAGAAGGTCGTAGAGTAGAAATGTTTGTCTTATAGCTGTGAAGCAAAAGAGAAATACATGGGGTCAGAGTTGCAAGATCCTCTTGAGAATATAGTCCCCAAAATCTCAGGTCTTCCCATTAAGCCTTCTTCCCTAAAAAGTCCAGAGCCTCCCAACAGCATGTCCCTGTGTAGACACAAGGCTTCTCTAACATTTCGATAAGACATTGTTATCTACAAATGAGTTCAGCTATAATCATAGCTATTCTGGGATACATCTGGTCCCCTAGCCACAGGTTAGACAATAGCTGAAAACATGGACCTTTAGGAACATTGAAGGTAGCAGAGTTCATGTCCTACAAGCTAATCATACGAGACCATATGTTTCTTGGGTCCCAGGTCTGGTCACTACTGACTTCTCCATTCTGTTCATCTTTAGTATTAGATGTGTTTGTAAACAGTAAGTGAATGGTGCCCACCTCCCAGCCTGCTCAAATAGATTTTCTCTGTTTCCTGCTTCTGCTGAGCTAATTCACCACTGCTAATTAAGAAGAAAGGGTACATACAATTATGTTTAAGTATTCCTTCTACTTCATCATGCATTGGAACCCATCCACTTTTGAAACATTTATAAGAAATATATAGTTTATTATAAATAATATGTAACCACGTTTTGAGTACATTTTTTAGATTATTAAAATGATAAATGTAATATAGTATCTTAAATTTATTAAATATCATTAATTCATGGATGTGTTTTTTAATTAAGTAATTTTAGGATAAATTAAACAGTGTACATTTAGAACACTCTTTTAAAATATTTAAATTAAATATAATAGTATTAACTTTATCATACTTAATGAAAGATGGGATTTACTCCTGTGAAATATGCCCTGTTTAGGCTGACATGAATAATCTTTAGTTTCTTATTCATTAATGGATAAATAGGACTTCTTGAAGAACCTACCATAGTAGGTCCCTGGGCAAGATGGCTCCTTATCTCTCCTAAGCCCTGGCAGATGTATCCTGTCTGCTGAGACACTAGAACGCCTTCCTGGGTGTAGATTTCACTCATGGCCATCTAATTCCTGCAGGAGACAAGTGCCTGTCAGACATGCCCTATGACAGTGCCAACTATGAGAAGGAAGAGATGATGACATCCCAAGTGATGGACCAGGCCATCAACAATGCTATCAACTACCTGGGGGCTGAGTCCCTGCGCCCATTGGTGCAGACACCTCCCGGTAGCTCCGAGGTGGTGCCGGTCATCAGCTCTATGTACCAGCTGCACAAGCCCCCCTCAGACGGCCCCCCACGGTCCAACCACTCAGCACAGGACAGCGCCGTGGAGAACTTGCTGCTGCTGTCCAAGGCTAAATCTGTGTCATCAGAGCGGGAGGCCTCCCCGAGCAACAGCTGTCAAGACTCCACAGATACAGAGAGCAACGCGGAGGAACAGCGTAGCGGCCTCATCTACCTAACCAACCACATCACCCCGCATGCGCGCAACGGGCTAGCTCTCAAGGAGGAGCAGCGCACCTACGAGGTGCTGAGGGCAGCCTCAGAGAACTCGCAGGATGCCTTCCGTGTGATCAGCATGAGTGGCGAGCAGCTGAAGGTGTACAAGTGCGAACACTGCCGCGTGCTCTTCCTGGATCACGTCATGTACACCATCCACATGGGCTGCCACGGCTTCCGGGATCCCTTTGAGTGTAACATGTGTGGTTATCACAGCCAGGACAGGTACGAGTTCTCATCCCATATCACGCGGGGGGAGCATCGCTACCACCTGAGCTAAACCCAGCCAGGCCCCACTGAAGCACAAAGATAACTGGGTATGCCTGCTTCCCAGCAGTTGGACCCACGGCGGACAATGTTGGGAGTGGATTTGCAGGCAGCATTTGTTCTTTTACGTTGGTTGTTTGGCATTTGATTTGTGTTTAGAAGACAAGTTTTTAATGTTAGCGACAGGATTGCATTGCATCAGGAACATTCAGAACACCCATCCTTCTAGACGGTTTTGTTGACTACTAGCTGAGATTTCCCTGATATGTGGCTTCCTAACACTCTCCCCACCCACCCCACCCCCAAAACAGAGCCTGAATCTTCAGAGAATTATTGAATAAAACAACAATCCAAGTAGGAGCAAGGTGGATCTTGCCCTAAGCAGAGTTTATGCCACAAAGATTCTCCAAATCCTCTAAAACAGCACAGCCACTGGGGTTGAGTCATCTCAGGGAGCTCTGCAGGTGAACCAGAGGACCAGATATAAGGCAGCTGGAGAGGAGCAGGGACATCAGCTGTGCGAGACCAGGGTCAAAGGCTGAACTTTGAAAGATACTATTAAGTCATCCATTGCATGGCAATATGGTGTCTGGACAAGTTGTGCAAGGTGCTGAAGGGAAGGGATTAGAGAGCCTTGCAGACTCTTCTTCATTTGCCTGATCACACTCAGCCTCCTGAGGGTTTGTTGCCCAGTAAGATGAGCTCAGTGCTCTTGTGATCATTTTTCTCCTATCATTTCCACGCCATTAATGGCCCTAACACTCGTCACTGTATTTTAGAACCCAATCCTGAAATTGAGACCTTATTTTAAACTTCTGATACTGTAAAACTTGTTGGAAGCCAAAGCTTTTTTTCAAGCCCCATCCTCAGTTATCTTGGTTCCTGTTCTTCCCTGGGCTGATAGTACCAGGACCTGTTATTCCATGAAAGCACAACTCATCCTTCACTTCAACTGAATCCCTGTTCTGATTATAGCTATGGACTCGGCTATCTTGAAAAATGTCTTTCCCTACTCTTGATGTGTTATTTTGTTTGAAAACCTGTAAGACCACTATTCAGAATGACCATTTTTAGATGGATAAAGTATATGAGCCCAGCATCTCAGTGGCTAAAACACTGAAACAAAATATCCATGCTTTTAAACAAAATTTTTAAATATTCTGAAGCTCTCTACTATAAACACCAGGTAGCATATATTTCCACATACATAGGACACAGGACCATGCAACTTTTATCAAGTAGAAGTATTAGAATGTTGTGATGTTCGGAGCACAGTATAACCAGTACAGGTTCCCGGAGAGGAATGCCTAGCATATATCACAAGAAGGTAGAAGTGAGATCTGGTATAGCCAGATCAAGACAGCAATGTCACGGTGAAGCCAAGTCAGTTAGCTGGAGATTCTCAACAGGAAGGCCTCTCTTAAGAGACAGTATTAGGGTTGTTACCCTACACCACCTCAACAAAACAAAAAGCTTATAATTGTAAATGTTTACAGTACTATCTTCACAGAAACTTTCTGAGGTGATTCCAAAGAACTGGAGGGGAGAATGTCTATAACAGCTCTTGAGCTAAAACGGCCCTCTTAGTCTCAGCTCTCCTGACATATAGGGCTTGATCACCACTGGTGGAGATTGTCCTGTGAACTGTGGACTGCATAGCACTACCCATGGTCACTCCCCAGTAGATGCCAGGAGCATTCTAGCTGATACCCAAAACTGTCTTCCCAGGTGTTTCATGGGGGCAAACCAATGATCTCAATTCTAAACCACTGGAACGTATGGAAGTTTTCCAAAATTAAAAAGCACTTGAAGCCTTTCCCATACAGCAGCCTCAAGCTGTACTTGTGTCTTTGGAATGCTTATGAATTCTATAAATCAGCATTCGCAAAGGCACTTCAAATACTGCTGAGTCCAAGTGCAGGGACAGCCTTCACAAAGGTATGGCTCTTTAGTGTGTGTTTCTTTGTTTCCAGAACAATGGCATTTTGAAAGTGAAAGTAAAGTTACAAATATAAGGATTTACACTGAGTAAAAGGAGAATGTGAGGAACTATAGCTGTGAACAGCTTTTGTTCAATATGCAGTTACAGGTCAGACTGGCCTTACCCAAATTCACATATTCCAGGTCAAAACCTTCCAAGGCTACAATTTGCTGGCAGCTTTTGCTCACTCTTGTCCTTAGTCATGGGAGTCATTAAGTATGGTCCAAGGAAGATGGCTCCAAACCTTACCCCCACCCCCACCCTTGCCACTGGTATTCAGAGGTTAAAGCAGAATTGTAAATAGTGGCTTCAGGAGCTGTTTTTTAGAATGCTTTGCCCTTCCCTCTCACTGCCTTTTTTAGCCAATATAAATGTCTATTTGCACACCTTTTGTTGTGGTTTTATATTGTAACAGCATTTTTTTTGAAACTATTGTATTTAAGATAAGGTTTCATATTATGTCCACAAGTAATTAAATTATGTTTGAAGGTGGCTATATTCTGTATCAAAAGTTGATGATGTTTTTCTTTAGCTGGTAAAGTAGGGTTTTGCATGACCTCACTTTTTGTTCTGTGGTTTGTTCTGTTGTATGATGTGTGTCTTGAGTACTGCTGTGTAATGGAGCGTGCTGAGATTCCATTGCCTTCAATGTTGTGTTTTAAGTAGCTATCAGAGGCAAGAGGGTTCCTAAGAGCAGGCTGACCTGTTGGTGACAGCTGGCAATCACCATTTCTCATTGCTTCGCTTCCCTGTTACCCCAGCTTCCTGTCCCCAGGTCCCTTCTGTGATTCGTGTGTGTGTGTGTGTGTGTGTGTGTGTGTGTGTGTGTGTGTGTGTG